ACTAAAGAGCAACAATGTGACAATAAAAGAGCCACGAGTATCGATAACTGGAGGTTACCTGTAGAATACGATAGCTACGGTAAATACACTAAAGAGCAACAATGTGACAATAAAAGAGCCACGAGTATCGATAACTGGAGGTTACCTGTAGAATACGATAGCTACGGTAAATACACTCTAAAGAGCAACAATGTGACGATCTAAGAGCCACGAGTATCGGTAACTGGAGGTTACCTTTAGAATACGATAGCTACGGTAAATACACACTAAAGAGCAACAATGTGACGATCAAAGAGCCACGAGTATCGATAACTGGAGGTTACCTGTAGAATACGATAGCTACGGTAAATACACTCTAAAGAGCAACAATGTGACGATCTAAGAGCCACGAGTATCGGTAACTGGAGGTTACCTGTAGAATACGATAGCTACGGTAAATACACTAAAGAGCAACAATGTGACGATCTAAGAGCCACGAGTATCGGTAACTGGAGGTTACCTGTAGAATACGATAGCTACGGTAAATACGCTCTAAATAGCAATAGTTCGTAAGACAAGTTAAAGATTAATGCTAGCAAATCTGTCTAAGAAAGCGCCAGACGGGAAATTAATAAGAAAAGCTAATAGTTCCCAGGAAAAATGACACGGTTTCAGAGATGAAAAAATAGCCTAGTTGTTAGTTAGTTAGTTTGTTTATTGATAAGCGCAAAGCTACACAATAGGCTTTCTGTGTTATGCCCATAACGGGCATCGTAACTCAACTTTTAGCATCATTACTTGGATTGTGAATGTGAGGGCTCTTAGTTCACGACCCAATGCCGCAAAACGCGCTCCGCACTTTCCGCTCGTGGTTACAGTATAAGAGTGACTGTCATATCCCACTATTTGATCAAACAAGAGTTGGCTGCGGGTGATTTTAACTAAGTGCCTTTATATAAACAGTCAATTCAAGGTTAGGAATTGCTATGTATAGATAGACCTTGATAAGTTGTGTATCTTTGCGCGAAATTCTGAAACAAACCAGTTGCTTTTGTGGTTTATAGTTACTCAGACTTCCTATAATTCAAATTATTTATTTTATTTTTACTTTGTGTGTATTATTCTACATGCTGATCTTACACAAAAACCTGTATACGGATTATTGGACAATGGAGATATTAATATAAAATTATCGGCATGATACAGTGATTCAAGCATAAATAAACTTAATTTAGACTTTCTCACAAAGGCCATGTCACCCCCTCCCCCCCCGCAAACCCATTTATTATAAATTGGTCCGAAGCATGGCGAAGTCCACAAACGAGCCAGTACAATAATTGAAGTTACTAGCAGGGCCTACATGAATGGGAGATTTTTGAAAACAATTTCCAATGGAAACCTATTTGAAATGGTGTTATGACGTGATAAATTTAGATAAGTGGTATGAAAATAGATCATTCTATTTACTACTTGAAATGCAAATATTTTAATTTCTATTTAGAATTACCACAAAATGAATAGAAATTCAATTAAGAAAGTGATTAAGTTATTAAAATCAATTTGAGAAATTCGAATTAAATTATCGACTCTAGTATTAAAACACAGCTAGTTTTAAGGTATAATCTACGAACTAAATACTCGTTATATTAAGTTCATTATCTAAGGGAAGTATATTTGACATCTTAGTAAGAGCTTTTGTTCGTTCGCATAAAAATATTATGTTCACCAATCTATTAAAACACTACATTTATACTACTTAATTTTATGTTCGTTTCACATAATTAACATATAAGAAGTGAACTATGAAACACTGCAGGTTTAAGAAGTTTTGTATATGTTAATACAATGGCGAATCAACCTGGTACAACGATGACATGGTTAATGCCTGTTTATTTGGCACTAACTAAATTATAAACCATTCGACAGTGCCTTGCCACCATAAGAAGATTTATAGCGAAACGTTATGTCAGAACCATTTTCGAGGGAGAATACTTGCATACCAGGATTGCTAAAGCCAAGGAACTTATTATTTAGAAGACCCTCCTGGAAACCAAAAATTGTCACACATCAAAGCGATTAATTCAGCACTGGGCTGTAAAACCACACCGCAAACCAACTCGTAGCAAAACCTTTATCCCCAAGGGTAGGCTATGATTTTGGAAGAAAACCTTCCGACCAAAAGAGCCATTGCTGGTACCATTAACAACATGATAAGTATTTTAGGTTGACGAGACCTCGCAGCCACATCTCGAAATCAACGAGTTTGTTCATGAGAAATATGACCAAAACAGCTGAAAACACAGCAATACCAACCCACTCTTCCGGTACAACAGCAATGAACTTTTGAGCATTTGGTTTGCACAAATGTAATATTGGATGTCAAAGTTGGCTTACAGTTGGTGAGCAATGGAAGGTTTAGTAACATGCATATTCTATTATCGCTAGCCTCACCGTCCTTCGCAAAATCTTATGGTGTTGGACAATTGCGCGTAATCATGATAATCAGACTTAGAATGTCCAACAATAGTTGAAGTCGTTTCGAATACAGCATGGGACTGGAAGTTTTTTATTTTTTAAGTTCGATCAATTTTTTTATATAAGTTGGATTAGAGTTACTCGTCCGATTACACGTTAAGTTATATGACAGTCACAGTAAATTTAATTAAAACTACCGCGAATTATTTAATTGTATGACTTTTCCCCTAAGATCATGGGTGAGTTTTTATTTCAGTTTGTTACTTTCCTTTCCTCGGGTATCAAACTACATCACATAATGATTAATGAGACGTGCTTAGAATCATTTCATATTTTAAAAAGTTTTGTTTTTTTACCTTTATGTTGATAAGATGTACATGCTTTTAACATGTGTTTTATGTGTTACATAATCTGTCACATCAAGTTAGCCTTCTAGTGGATCTGCGGCAAGCCTGAACTTATAACGTGGCCCGGCATGGCCAGGTGGTTAGGGTACTCGACTCCCAATCTGGGGGTCGCGGGTTCGAATCCCCGTCACACTAAACATGCTCGCCCTTTCAGCCGTGGGGACGTT